GAAGTAGAATCTGCATTCTCATCTGAGAATGCAGAGCCCCTCTATACTGTAGTGCTACTTTTAGTACTGATTTCTGTTTCTAAAAACATGTGTGAGAAAAATAGATCTGTAATTAAAGAAATGCAGTGAAGACTCATCTTGACTGCCATGTGAAGATTCTTGATTGAGTGTTTCATCTTGCTCTCTATTCAACTTCAACAAATGAGATTGCTTCTCTGATGTCAGCAGAGGATTTGATTTACTATTACTGATGAGTGATTTCATCAACAAAGTAGACTGAATTATAATGAATCTCAGAAACAACTTCAGACTAGATGAGACTTCATCCATCTTCTTCTAACATCAATTCTCATTCCTCTTCTGAAAATCTGAAAGGAGATCTGAATTAGAGATGCAAGAAGCTCAGAACATTCAACACTCTTAAAAGAGAAGAGACAATGAAGAAATCAATAGATCTATCTATAAAATCATATTGTGCATCATATGAGTGCAGCTGTGAATCTAGAGTGATGATATCATCACAAGAAGTGATGTCAGTAATCAAGTCCACAAAGCTCTTGCTCTCAAAGTCTTTGGTGATTCCATTCTCTATAAACATCTTATTAAAATCATTTAGCACAATAGTCTGTGCTGAATCTTGGCCACTGCAGCTGCTTTGAAGTGGGGTGCACAGTGAGAAACTGAAAGAGGGATGACTGAGTAGAGAATGTGATTTCAATGATACAGAGTGCATGGGCTGAGTCTGAAGAGATATAGATATAGAGTATGATGGGGGATTGATGATATTAGAACAGTCAGATAGACAGAAGAGAAAGAGAGAGAGGAAATAAAAAGGTCTGAAAGGTTTCAGAGGAAGTGTTGTAAGTGTAGAGTATGAAGAGTAAAAGTGATTGAAATGGGCTTGAAAGATTTTACATTCTGACTGAGAGAGGGTATAGTTGATAAACTTCATAATAGTCAAATGATATTCATCTGCTCTGAAATGATCTCACAGACTGTTTTATTCAATTTTACTGATGAAATTCACAATTTTACAGAAGAAAGAAGAACATCTATATAGCAGATTCAGAAGTGCAGCACACACTGACTCAATGCAGAGCAAGATGGCTTGAGCTTCACTGTGTCAAAGAAGCAGATGCCATTTTCTGACTCAAATCAGCCAAGTGCAGCCTTCTTGTCCTCACATGGCATGAGCTAAGCCAATCAAGAACAGTCTCCCCAACCACATTTGAAAAGAACAGTGAGCCCATCTTAGCAGCCTCTCACACTGTGAATGGTATATGTAACTCTCTAATGCAACTTGAGCAACAAGAAGACAGCACTGGAATGATCATAACCTATTAAGAGATTTCAAATGATGCCTAGATTGGCTGCAACAATCCATTTTGCTGCAGATATAGAAACAGACTAAATTACATGTGAGTTCTGTGGTGAGAATAACCAGCAGAGGTTGATATTGCAAGGCATACCAGTCAATATCATTCAGCTTGCACAGCCCACTAACACCTCATCATTCAAGTTTAAGCTTCACCTTCAGCAAGGAAATTGAATATATCACTCTTATAGAGATAAGAGATGCAGACATGCATGGCAGCACAGATAATACAAAGTGAGAGAAGCAGCAACAGCCATTCATTTGTCTTCAGCTTATTCATATAAAATATACAGAGATTTAGTCATCAACAAGACTGCAGTCAGATCAGATGATTGTATTATTGTGGCTTCTCAAAGTCATTGAATGTCTATATAGAACTCTGTCTCAAGGATTGATTGACAAGGCCACTGATGCAGCTGTGTTGCAATTCCAAACCTAGATCCACATGTACAGCTTTACAGAGAATGAGGCATTTTTGTCATTGACTCAAAATACAGTATATCCTCTGCTCTGATATCAGACAAAAAAAAAAAAAAAAAGAAAAGAAAAGATAAGAAAAGAGAAGGAAAAAAGACTGACAGTCTGAGAACAGCAATGAATGTGATGAATTAAGAGTGTGTAAAGAATGAAAGAACAGTGGAAAGAAACTGAAGAATGAAAACAGTAAACCACAGAAGAACAAGAGTACAAGAGTATGATGAGAGTTATCAAGACAATGGATTGTTGTAAAAGTAGTTGAGCTATGGCAGATTGAGTAACTTCATTCAGCATGGTGGTGATGGCAGTGAGTCAGCCCAGCATTTGTTAAGAGAAGAAGAGATACAGATGTCAGAGTTTGATGATCATCAATGAAGAGAGGGAAACAAGGAAAGGCTGAGATTGGAAAGAAAAACAAGATAGAAAGTGTGTGCACAAGAGAGAGAAAGAGGAGCATCTTATATAGTTGCAACAGATGACATTGATACAGGCCACAGCAGCAAGAGCAAGTGCCATCTCTGAACAGACAGCATCAAATCAAAATGAAACACATTAGATCTGAATGGGTGATGCTAGATTGGATGAGAAGAGTGTCTAACTGCAAGAAAGAGGGGCCATGAGGAGGGTGGCGCCGATGCAAATCGAAATTCTCCTACTTCATAACTATTCTCATTATATTCACATTCTTGAAAAACATGGGATTGCACTCTGAGCAGAAGATGAAGCTAGATATTATATCTCTAAGCTGTTAAAACAGTGAATGAATGATTGACAGATGAATTAAATAAAATGATCTGCATAAAGTTCTGATTTAAATTCTATAGAGAATCTATAAGCAATAATGAAGTTTCATATATCAAAGATACAACATCAAATACACTTCAAAGCTGAGATGAGAATAGAATTACAGATGATATGGGATTCTATTATACAACTTGAGATACAGCATCTAATCAGCTCCATGCTCTGAAGATTAGCCACAGTTATCAAAGTCAGAGATGAATCAACCAAATATTAGAGAAGAAAATGTATATAGATATTCTTTATTGATTTAGCTATATAAAACATGTATATAATTCTATATTGGATACCTGGTTGAGATTTTATTTAATATCTAGTTGAGATGGGTAGGGTGCTGAATCTCGGCGCCGAGCCTCTAGTACGCTGACTTATTGGACACCACTGTACATAGAACCTATGTATATATATATATATGTCTGAGAAATATATTCTTCCTCTTATGTTCTTTCCTTCGTCTTTCTCTGCCCTTTCTCTTCTCTTTCTTTCCTCTGTGATTAGAAACTGTGAGGTAAAGGTGGACAGTGTGGAGAATGAATAGTTGAAGACGGGGATAGATAGTAGCAATAGGTACAGTAAACACAACTTGCAACTAATGCTGAGGAAAGAAGAAGAGAAAAGGAAACCGTAAGAAGAATCTATGTCTATTCTATCTTCTACTGTTTGTTCCCACGCTGTCTATCTTTCCTCACAGTTGCTAATCACTAAGGAATGAATGAGCAGAGGAAGGAAACTCACGTCAGAAATTGACGGTATACGAACTTAACTAACAATGCCTATCTTTGACGCGTAGGCGCCAGCTTACCGGAACGGAGTGTATATTCTGCCGTTGAAGCGTTGCCGTTGGAGTAGTGGAATAGAAGTGCATCCCAAAGGCCGAAGAAGAATGAATAACTATCTAAAAGCATATCATCATTGACGAAGACCTATAGAGGTGCGCACTCCGAAGGGGGCTTGACTTCATATACAGGCATTGGATATCCAGGCATTGGATATCCAGGCATTGCCTGTTATGATGCAGACTCCTCAAAGCTGGGATGAACAATGAATGAGAAGTCGGCGCTTATCTCAAGAGGCGTTTCGGCTAAGTCTAGCGAATATACAAAGGTGGATGATATGGACCGTGTGCCGTATTTCCTGTTTTCTCCACCCCAATTAAACCAACATCTCGGAGATTATGCTCTTAGCAGAGGGCAGAAAGCCGAGCATTCGTTTTAATCAATGCACCGCAATTGTCGGCAAACAAGAGGGAAGATTCTTTGCAAAGAAAAGCCGAGCAACCAATTCCCTCCAAACAACGAGACAGGAACCATGAAACTCCTTCCCATACATGTCAAAGCCATACTATTTTTGCCCCGATCTATTTTGATACATTTTCCACTTAATTATCATATTTGAAAAACCTGGATAAGGTCGTAGTTATCCTGCTGTTTCATGCATGAACACTCGCAGCCAACTAACCCAACCTTGCCTCAACAGGAAGATGCGCGCGCAGGCATCTGCTCTTCAAAGCCCTGATGTTCCTGAAACGGAAGGGAGACGGCCAATAGCCATTGATTGTTCATCGTATTTTCCCCTTGGCCATACCCGCCCTGGGACCCCGTTGTGAAGATCATCGTTCCTTTAGTTAAGCAAGATACGAGGCCCCGTTGATGGCGATTTATCGATCGCAAGATGCGGCTTTCGTTCTTCAAGAACACCCGAAATACATTGTAGCATCGGGACAAGCGGGCCCTGTTCACTTTCCTCGTGTCCAGGGACAGCCGCCAAAATGGGATGTTCCATGAGAAATTGAACATCATGATCGAGGCATTGCCGTGCCGACACAATTCCTGCTTTTTGAATCTAAGGATATGTCTTTCCCTTGTGTATGCTTTTTTTTTTTTTTTTTTTTTTGCTACAGTGTGGAGATTCCTTTTCGACTTCCTTGAGTAGTGGTTAGTCCCACTTTGGCAAGAAAATGGGGTTCGATAAGATGGCTTTTGTCTATCTTGCCCATTTTGTCGCGAATAGCTTCATGAGATGGAATTGAAGTTGGGGTTAGTTTGAGGCAGAGTGTTGTATATGTCTTGGATATCACGATTTGAAGGACGGGAAGAGAGTCGGGATGTGGCTGCTCCAGTGTTGAGAAACAAGCTATATAATGATTCCTCTTTCACCCTTGGAATCACCACCTTCTCATCAGAAGCAGTAACAGAAGCCACAAGACAAGACCCTCGGTTGGTCGAAAAGGGAGCGCCATTCTTGTCTCAAGAGGCAAGCACCTCCTTGATATCTCGCATCTGAATTCACCCGCGTTCTACTCGTCCAAATTGTATGAAAGCAACAAGGTTTTTTCGTTCAGTCGAAAATGTTACCCCACCTCCTCCCCTACCTCGCCCTCACGGCAATCCACCTGTTCTTAGTGTAAACGCGGCGACAATCGGGACCTTCCCCGAATACAATGGCAACAATCTCAGCTCAACCAAGAACATTATCA